TTATATCTTGATAATGATCAATAACTTACCTCATGTCAACAAGTACAGAAAAGATCAAACAGAAAGCTGTCTACAACCTAGGCACCTCTGTGCCTACACACATTGCAACCATCTATTCTTTTGAATCTTCTATTTGAAGCATAATCATTGCCATATTTCAAAGATCTTTTGAGCAAATGAAATATTAGCATTGTGATATTATATTGATACTCTGCCTTATATTGTGGGATGTGGCTGAAAAAAGTCTTTATTGTTATCAATAGAATTTGTGATTAATTACAAATGAGGGACTCAAGGAAAATATTTATAATTAGTTTATAAATGTCTACTAATTCATTTTCCTTCTAACAAAGTCTTAGTAAGTGACTTACCAATAAAGAAAAAAAATTTTTTGCAAAAAATAAACTCAGTTCAATAGTAATCATATTAATGCAATTTTTGGAGAATCCAGGCTTTACAAAGAATTGAATTGCATCATAATTATTTACTGTAATTACACATTGCTCATTTTTATGTAGTGCTGGTTTTTAGATAATATTAATTATATTAATTTTATCATCTTATAATATATATTAAAAATTTATGTTCACATTAGATTAAATTTAATTTGATATTGTAATGTGTTTTAAAATTTAATGTATTATATAGAGTTCACTGATTTTCCTTATTTTATGTAGTCTTAACACTTTACTACTAATATTATTGCTATTGCTGGTGAACAAGCACTAAGAATGCTGATATCACTTTTACTCTCCTATGGAAATCACTTATCCCAGCCTTGCCAAACTCACCTGTGCCTCCAAAACAGCAGAAAATCGGCAGGACTGAGCGTAGGACCTGAAAGACTGTTAATTAAGTGCTCAAACAAGGGGTGCGTCAGCAGCAGTGACCCAAGGAGTCTTTGTTGGGTTTTAATAGGAAGACACAACTGAAGAGAAAGAGTCCACCAAGAACTGAGGTTAAGTTCCCTGTGTGCCTGGATAGAAGGAAATGATAAATGATTTACTTTAATATTTTAATTCTTGCACACCAGCAATTGAGATTGCAAATTCCTATCTTTCATGCTTTGATAGTTCTCTTATCCATACTTAAGCCTGCATTATATCTTGCCTGCCCTTTGGTCTACTCTGCCAAGTCATCTGCTTAGAGTTTGAGTTCACATAAAACATGGCATCTTCCATTGAGTCTTTCCTTGTTGTTTTGCAGGGAACATAATATCCCCTCAAATCTCAAGTCCGATTGTAAGACTCTTAGTGCCAAGACATGGACACAACCAAAGTGCCCTTTGGTTTGAATAAAGAAGCAGCAGCGCATACATACAAGGGAATACTACTCAGCCATTAAGAAAACAGGAGATACTGCCATTTGAGACAAAGGAAGATTCTTGAGAATGCCATGCTAAGAAAAATATGTCAGACAGAAAAAGTTAAGAACCATATGATTTCACTCATATATGGGCTATAAAACTGAAAGCAATACATGAATAAACAAGAAAAACAAAAACTCACAGTTATAGACAACAGGATGGTGGTTACAAGAAGAAAGCCAAGCAGCCATAGTAAAGGGTAAAGGGGATCAAATATACGGTGACTTTGGATGGTGGTCATGTGTCATAGAGTTGTACACTTGAAACCTATGGAACTTTATTAATCAATGTCACCCCAATAAATTTAAGAACAAACATCAGTTTGTACATTGCATTAAATTATTTGTATTTGCATTTTGTCTAATAGATTTCCATGTTCTTAAATAAAGAGACCTTATATATCTTATCTTAGTATTCTCATTGATGCTTGTCTTGGAGCTCTGTCTGTAGCATTTTCCATCGTCAATATTGCAAACTTTGGTAATACAACTTCAGGTTATATTCTTACATTGAACAGCATTCAACACTTTTTTTTTTGACTTGTCCTACCTACTTGTCATTTTTTTTCCCTGTAAATCTGGCAACCCATCTGTTTAGGCTCTCCTTATAATTTTCACAGTCCTCATTTTCTGCTTCTTTTAACCGTTATTACTTCCAAAATGTAATGTTTCCCTAGAATTATGGCAGAAATGGCCCATTTACCTTCTTGACCCATATACTTGAGCCATTGCATAGACTCTACAATTTCATTCTCCACAGACAACTCCAAATACTGTTGATTTCACATCTTGAACTTAACCTCTGTATCTCAACTTCCACTCCCTTAGTACATGCTCTCATGATCATTTCCCTGGTTTATTAAAGCTACTCTTCATCTGGTCTCCCTGTCTCTTATCTCTCCCTCCTCCATTCTAGGAGTCAGCGTAAATGTGAAAGGGGAAGTAGGAACAGCGAAGCACATATGAAGTAATAAAAGTCCAGATAATTTTTGAAGTAGACCTATAGGATTATGTGGTACATAAAAATAAAAGAATTTTTTAAAAAAGGACTGTTTTGTAACCTGAGTAACTAGCTGAATGATGGTGCTTTTTACTGAGATGGGTAACACAAGAGAAGTAGTTATATATTGAGATAATGTTCATTTATAAACAGGGAAATCTTAAGATTAATTTGTGGACTGTACATACAATTCGCACTCTCAAATAAGAGATTTAGACTTGCATGTTGTGTGGGTGTGTGTGGTATGGGGTGTGCGTGGTATGGAGAGAGAGATTGGTCAGGTCTCAAAACCTGATACATTAATGTATGGACAGCATTTAAAGCCAATGAAGTAGACAAGATTATTTAAGAAGTGAGTAAAGATAAAGAAAAAAGCCAAGAGAGGAGAATTGGGGCGCCCCAATATTCATAAGCTGGAAGTGAAGTATTGATGTTGGAAAATATAATTAAAAAAATGAAAATCCTACCAAACCAGAAAACTTCCTCAGAAAGGTAGGAGACAAAACAGTGTTATTACTGAAGAAGCGTTAAACTAGAGTGTGAGTTGTATCACCAGCAATCTGCAGAGAGGTTGCCAGACAGAAAGAAATCCCCCCTTTTAGGCAGCCAAGTGGATACAACTCGTTCGTTGTATCTATGTAAGATAAACAACTGGTCCTCAATATGAGGACCGGACACCACCATTTGTCATACAAGCTCTTCCTAACTTCACTAGGTAATTGGGGTGACCATCTGCGTTGGCTCACCGGCTTTGTCCAAAGGAAAAATAAACTTCTCATATCAGTCACCCGAGGTGGTGTTGCAGCTTGGAGCCAGACACCCATGGGAGTTAGGCATCTTCCTCCCCACAGACTCTGGGACATAGTGGCCCATCTTCTTGATGATTACATTTTAAACAGACGTCTCCCAGGTCACTGAAAAAGACACCCCTGGGTCTTAAAGCTAGCAAAGACTTATTTAGTCATTTTAAATGATTTAAATGATTAAAAAGACAGAAAAAAAAACTTACCATTACAAGTTTGTTTTCTTTTGACCAAATAATATTCTAAGAAAACTATGCAATGGAAGTATCTTTTTTTCTTTTTTTTTTTCACTAGGAAAAAGTATCTCATTTTTCTCCTTCAATTTTTATTTACCCTTGTATATTCAAAGAGGAAAACTAGGAGCACATGAGGCCTTAGAAGGCAAAAGGGGGGAAGGTATACAACATTACTATTTTGTAGAATATGTTACAAAATGATTACCACAACAAGTTAACACCCATCACCTCCCATAGTTACAATTTTTTTCTTGTGATGAGAACTTAAGGCCTATACCTTATCAACTTTCAAATACACAATATTGTTAACCATAGTCACCATGTTATACATTACAATTACATCCTCATATCTGATTTAACTTACAATTGAAAGTTTGTACATTTTGGCCACCTTCACCCATTTCTCCCAACCTTCCACCCTCCCATCCACTTTCAGCAAAGGCAAATCTTTTCTCTGTTTCAATTAATTATATATATATATATATTTATGTATATGTATATATATGTATGTATGTGTGTGTGTGTGTGTGTATATATATATATATATATATATATATATATATATATATATATATTCGTTCCACATATAAGTAAGATGTCTCTCCAAATTTTGTGCAAAACTCTCTTCTGGCCCACTCTAACTGAAAACATATGGGGGTATGCAAGGCCGTGTAGTTTAGCGTGGCCAAATTTATACATTGCAAAGCCACCACAGCTTCAAATGCATGTTATTAATAACAAACAAACATTGTAAGTTAATAGATGTGTTATCTCTGTCGATATATTAAAAAAGAAAGGACATAATACTAACACTAAAAAAATTTAGAAAATAAAAAAGCCTTATAATTTTAAAAAGATTTTAGAAATAGAAAACAAATATACAATAAAAAGATTAACAAAGCCAGAAGCTTATCTTTGGAGATTTTTTTAATGACAAACCATTAGAGAGATGATTTAAAGGTGGGGAGCAAAACAGAAGTCTCAAAAACTATTATCACAAATAAAAAAAGCATTATTTAAGATGCCACATAAGAGGATATTAAGAGGAAAATTATACCAGCACTTTTTAAAATTTAAATAAAAAGACAAATTCTGAGGGAAAAAAATCTAATTTACTGCACTTATACAAAAAAAACTAGAAAACCTAACTAGTCCTGTAATTGAATTAAAGTAATTGAATTAGTACTTGAAATCTTCCCAAAGTGAAAATTGCAGTCTCAAATGACCTCATTGTCTAGATTACCCAAGACCTGCAATCTCCTTATCCGGCACTTTCATCCCTAAGATTCTGATACAGGTGAGTATAAAGACACACACATGACTTGTATAATGTACAACATGAACAATGGTGTTCATAGCAGCATATTTATAATAGTCCAAAGCTGGAACAACATATGTATTCATCAACAGAATAGACTGAAAAACAACTCCACTGACTGAGTACTGCATAGCAAAAATATAAACAAAAAACTCAGAACTATAGCATCATGTAACAACATGAATTAAATTCACTGAAAAAATTAACAAGGCAGAAAATCAGGACTATAATATTTTATTAATGGATCTATGCATACAAAGTTCAAAAAACAAGCAATCTACTTTTAGGAATGCAAACATAGGAAGCAAAATACTAAGTCACGGCATGTTTACTGTTTACAATGGAAGGCCAGCAGTGAGAGGGGGTTATGGCTAGGAAGGGGCGCATAGATGGGTAGGCTTCTGAATTGCTGGAAAAGTCTTATTTCTGGCTCTTAATGTTTCTTGGGTTTTCAATTTATAGTTATTAAACTGCATGTATTTTATTCATTTGTATATCATAGTTTACAATAAATGAAGAAAATCTGTGCAGCTCAAAGACAGCATACTCTAAGCATACACAGCATATATTATTTCAATTTAGGAGAATCCAATGATAACCTTTCCCCCCCCAAAAAAAAATCAAGCTATCTCTCAGAAAAGCTATCTTGGACACATTCAATTGCATGGAGAAATTAGTAGCACTCTGAAGAATCCGAACTGCTGACAACCAAGTCAGACCAGAAATGACTGACTTTCGTTTATTTTCAGAAGATGTAGCCGGGAGCGAGGTATTCGATGGCTGAGCTCTGAAGTGGTCAATGACAAATCACCGGGCAGCAGTTGCCACTGCTCCTACTCAGCTCTTGCGTTCTGTTCATAAGAGATTTTTACCATCACTCATTCCAAACCGGTGATTATATCTAAAAGAGGATAAATTTATGAGATTTCCTCTGCCATTTAGCAAATCTGCAGATTAAAGCTGCAGCTGTGAATTCTCAGCTTAACCCACTTGAGCACTGCGTCTCAGCTGGACAAGTGACAGAAGTACTTGACATAGAATCACTCAAGGTGTAAGAGCAAATGGTATAGGGGCACGAACTGATTTGTGAGTTTGTAAGTTCAGTCTAATTACTACACTTTCAGTGTTGTAAATTGAGACTCCAAATGTTTACTAAGTTCCCTGAGGCCACATATCCAAGGAAGAGAAAAGAGGAGTCTGAGTTCCAGTTGCCCACCGCCCTGACTGATGGTTTTTTTCCTTTCACACTACCTGTACACCTGGACCCAGGCGTGAAGGCTCTAATGACCTTCACTGACTCTACTTTTCCTTTCTCATTCCAAACTATACACTTCAGCGTTTGCCCCACACCTCCATCTGAATTACTTACGGAGTTAGTTCTTTCAAGGGTCACGTCCTCAATGGAAGTAAAAAGGACTCCATTTTATAGCCACTTCCTTCTGAAAATGTGAAGTATTAGTATAAACTACTAGCTAAGAAAATCCAGCTTAATTTCTTAGTAGTGGATTATCAGTTTCTAACTGTCTCGGACAGTTAAATGTCCTGAAGTTGAAAAACGATCAGCCTTATTACAACTCCTGATTGGCTAATTTGAAAAATTTATGAAAATGTGATTAAACCTTTTTCACAGCATTTGTTATATATACATGTGTACCCACTGCTACTCCTATATACGACTGCTAACTTTATAGAAAGTGAAAATAATAATTTTAGTGACTGCAGTATTTCAAAACAGCAACCAGGATAGTCTCCATCTTACCTCTCTCCCTGGGGCAGAGTATGTATGATTCACAACTGGACAAACCACCTGGGTCCTCAAATGCAGAGAACAGTGCTCTTATCTCCCTGTGAATCATGCACTGGGAATGAGAACAGCAATCTTATACACAGTATGCACGTAGAAATTATGTCTGGGTATAATCAGTTAAATATTGAGTAGAAATGTGAGTACTGAAGTTGGAAATGTGAGATGCATTTAAATGGACTCTGAAAATTCACACGGAAAAGAATGAATAAGTTGCTTCCAGAAGTCACCTCATTCTTGGAATGTGGCCCTCATGCATAAAACTAAAGTTTAATTTTTACTATATTGTCTTCATACTTAGTCCTTTCCCCACTCCATAAAACCACTTTCATTATAAAACCTTGTGAACTGTCTGCAAAGAACTTACACTTTGATATAAGTTGCCTTGTGGTAAATTGAAGAAACCATCTGTGATTCTCTTTCTCTGTGGTTCTGCAAAATTTGAGAATGTACGTGGGCTCATCTTATTCATTCCACAAGCTAGCACACCTGCACAGGACAACTGAGGGACTCAAAGCTATGTTGCATGTTAAAATAGGTTTTAAATGTAGCTTGCTTTAATTTTTTTTCTGATTAGGAAGTACTATAATACATGTTCTGTGTACAAACTTCACAAAGAATGAATGAAAAAGTATTTTTAAAAAGCACTCCTAATGCCATCTTCTAGAAGAAACAACTTTTAGTGTTTACATATATTTCATCTCAGTCTTATAATAATAGTAAGGGATATAGTAATAAAACAATTCCAACACACATATTCCTATTCTATTATAGCCTGGTGTATCCATTTTAGTTACAGAGATGGGGGGAGGGGGAAGAGAACAGGGAGGGAGAGGAGGAAGAGGAAAAGAGGAGCAGGGAGAAGAGGGTGAGGAAAAGAAAGGGGGGGGGGAGAAAGAGCGAGGAGGAGGAGGAACAGGGGGAAGGAGTAGAAACAGAGGGCGGGAGGAAGACAAAAAAGGGAAAAAAGATCAAGTTCCTGCCTGCATGAGGTTTTATAAATGGGGTAAACTTTTCTCACGTGCAGACATTAGAAGAGAGTCCTGAGTTCCTGAACAATCTTTGACATAAACTCCTCTATGTTCCTATTAGCATATGCAAATTCCTACACTCTTTCCCCAAGATTAAAATTCAGAAGTTTTGATGCAAATTAAAGTAACCTGCAGTTTTTAAATCTCTCCCTTGGCTTCAGTTAATGAGGATGCGTGTGACTTGTTTGCATCCATTGAAAAACATCATGCTTCACTGTCCAGTATCGCAGCCATTAATCAATCACGTGTGACTGCTACAACCAGTTTTCATTAGCTAAAATTAACAGTTAAATTATAATTACCTACATTCATCTTAATTAAATAAAATTCAAAATTCAATTGCTCAATCACACAAGGCCCATTTCAAATGCTAAACCAGCACATGCGACCGCTGGCCACTGCAGTAGGTGGCGCAGATACAGGACACGCCGTCATCCCAGAAAGTTCTGCCGGGCGGTGCTGGTCTGGACGGAGCCCCGTCTCCACTCTTCCGGTCCATCAGCCCGTCGACTGGGCTGGAGTCAGTAACATCAAGAGAGTGGAAACATACTCCAGATCCAGAGGTTCTCTTAAATATTCCAGCAGATAAAGTCATACTGAGAAGATTGTCTCCAGGGCATTTTCAGAAATTTCTGAACACCACATATAATTCTGGCTTGACCTGGTCAAACTAAAATATATTTCTAACCACTGTGTTCAAAAATGACTATTTTTCATTTTTTTTAAACACACAGCAATAAAAAAGAGAAACACTAGGGATGGTTTATTTTTCACTCAATACTTTCGCTCAATGCTTTAAAGTAGTATGTACAAAAAAAGATCTATACAAACATTTTTAAACTGAGTACTCAAACCCCAACATTCCTATAACAGAGTCATTTCAGACCTGAGGCCAATTATATAATGCCAAATAAAATCACTGGGGAGCTAGGACTTTGTCAGTCAAGTCAAATTATGAAAACCTTAAGTTAAATTTAGGGTCAGCATGACCTGGATTAACTACAGAGTTCACCTCTACTAGATTCTAGATACTGCATTCTTAACCTGATCCAATATAGGTGCTTAAGGCCGTGGAGGGAGTGAATTCTCACTGATAAGGGTAGCTGGCTTATTCCACACCCAACATGCTGCTGTGTAGTAAAGCAAATACCCACCCGTGAATTCACCAGGCACTTTCTTAAAGCATAAAGTCAGAACAATTGGAGGATTGGTGGAAAAATGTTACCAAGTATAGGTAATGGCAAGGGGTAGTGGAAAGACTTCCCTTCATTTTTTATCATTTCTTTCTCAATCCTTTATATTCCAAAGAAACCAATAGTCAACGGTAATAAGTAAAATTAATAACATGTAAGATGAGGGGATCAACCATGACCTGTATCCACTCTCCAAAAATATATTTTAATTAATTCAGTTTTTAAATCTCCTTCTATGAAGTAATGTGTTGTCTTAGCATCTTTCCTCAACTCCCTAACTTAAAATGTAGTTAATATAATACAATGACATGATTATGCCAGTGGATACATATTAAAACCTCAACATCATTTCTTTGTAAATAAGTTTAAAGAGTAGGTAAGAAAACACAGGTATCAGTTGCATTTCCATACACTAATAATGAAACATCTGAAAAGAAATTTTAAAAACTACCCTATTAACAGTACCATCAAAATGATAGAATACCTAGGAATACGTTTAACCAAGGAACTCAAGAAAACACAAATGGAGGGACACTAATGTTTACAGATTACAAGAGTTAATACTGTAAAAACCCAGGGTACTAAAAGTCATCTATAAATTCAATACAATCCCTGTAAATATCTCAACGGCATTTTTCACAAAAATAAAAACTAGTCCTAAAATTTATATAGAATCACAGGAGATTCTAAATAAACAAAGCAATCATAAGGAAGAAAAATAAAAGCAGAGGCATTACATTTCCTGATTTTAAAATATACCACAAAATTATAGCAATTAAAACAGTATGGTACAAAAAATAAACACATAGACCAATGGAACAGAGTAGAAAGCCCACAATTAAATACATGTATATATGCTTAAGCAATACTTAACAGGTGAGCCAAGAACATATGATAGGTAAAGGATAGTCTCTTCAACAAATGGTGCTGGGAAATCAGATAACCATGCGTAGAGAAATGAAATGGACTCGTATATTACACCACTCACAGAAATAAACACAAAATTGATCAGACTTATATATAATGCCTGAAACTCCAAAAAGAAAATATAGGAAAGAAGCTCTTCGACACCAATTTTGGCACTGATTTTATACATATAGCACAAAAGCACAAACAAAATGAAGAAAACAAGAAGTTTGATGGGATTACATCAAATGTGAAAGCTCCTGAAGTATGAGAGCAACAATCAACAAAGGCAGCAATATGGAGGAGGAGAAATCTTTGCAAACCATGTGTCAAAAAGAGTTAATATCCAAAACACAGGGATCGATGAAAGTAAGTTTATAGTTTGAGTTCATGAAACAGTTTATTTCTGCATTATTACTTATTAATTATTGCCTATTTTCCATACAAACAACTGTAAATCTACTTTTGCCCACCTCTGTATATAAAAAACGTACACAACTCAATAATAAAAAATAATTCTAATAAACAAAAATGGACAGAAGAACTAAATACAAACTTTTCCAAAGACATTCAAATGACACACTAGTACATACAAAGGAGCTCAGCATCACTAATCATCAATGAAATGCAAATCAAAGTCACAATGAGCCATCTCCCCACAACTGTTAGAACGGCTATCATCAAAAAGACAAGTGTGGTGAGGATGTGGAGAAAAGGGAAGCCTTGGGCACTGTTCATGCATGAAATTACAAACTGGGACAACCACTATGGAGAACAGTAGGGAGGTGCCTCAAAACGTAAAAATAGAACTGCCATATGAGCCAGCAAATCCCGCTTCTGAGTACATATCCAAAAGAAAACAGGTTCTCAAAGAAATGTAGGCACCTTCATTTTTTGCAGCATTATTCACAATAGACAAAATACAGAAACAGCATAAGTGCCAACAAATGAGTAAGAAGATTTTGTGCACACACACACACAATGATAACAGTGGAATACTCATTCAGCCAGGAGAACAGAAGAAAATCCCATTATTTGCCAACAGTGAGGATGGAACTTGAAGTGATTATGGTAAATGAGATAAATCAGACAGAGAAAGGCAATACTGTATGATGTTTCTTACACATGGAATCTAAAAAGACCCAAACTCAAAGAAACGGAGTGGAATGGTGGTTATCAGGGGCTGGGGAGTGGAAGAGTAGGAGAGATGCTTTAAAAGGTATATACTCACAACTGGTAGATAAATAAGTCTTGGAGCTATAATACACAGCCCAGTGATTATAGACAACAAAATTGTATTATCAACATGAAACTTACTAAGGGAAATAGATCTTAAATATTCCCACCGCTAGAAGAAATAAATATTATGTGAAAGGACAAGGGCTTAACTAATGCTGCAATGGCAATCATACTGCAATATAAATGCATCAAATCAACATGTCGCACCCCTTACACCATGTTATATGTCAATTACATCTAAATAAATAAATAAATAAATAGACTGTTATCTTGGCAGCAAATGGGTAGCAGTCTCATAAACATCACAGGGGTTTATAAACACTTCTCTAAATGTAATATAGGCATGCTATCTAAAAAGTAATGAAATAAAGACTAGGAAAGAAAAATTGTGTAATTCACTACTAGAATAATCATTGGAAAAAAATTAATAGGCAGAGCTATTTAGAGGCAGTTGTGCTTCAGTTAAAAAAGTATAGCGTTAATACCTTTGAATGCCAACAGAAACTAGTCTGAAGAAAAGGCTGACTCTTGGTAACATTTAATTGTTTAGAATGAATTTGTGTTAGTTGGAAGAGTAGTTAGTTTTCTTAGATAAATAATGGTTTAGTTGATTGCTCTGTGCAAATACTTATTAAAACAATTTTTAGAAAGAAATTTAATATGACCTGAAAC